TTAGGGTTACATCCATGTAAACCCTAATACCCATGACCTTTCATTTACATAGGATCCATGGGTTAAAAGCTCCATGGACCATCCATGAAAGCTTAGCCCAACCTAAATGAACTTGGCCCATTCCATATATATAAGAGTCCATATTTAATTAGTTTTTTTTGATCACTTAATTAATTCTAAATTAATTCTTGATCAATACTAATTAAATAATATGATTCCATATTAATATATTAGAACTTATAATATATTAATATAAATCATAAATATACTATTCTCAAAAGACTATCCATATAAATTGTGCCGATGAAGTGCAACCCAAATGGACCATGCCGGGTCGGGTCAAGTACATACCAAATATAGTTATGGACTTAGACATTAATCCAACAGCATTACCTCTATGGAACGAAGTGCAAACTTTTCACTGATCATAGGAGTCTTCAATATCTCTTTAATCATAAAGAATTGAATATGAGGCAAAGACGTTGGCTAGAGTTACTTAAGGACTACGACTATGATATACTTTACCACCCCAATAAAGCCATTGTTATTGCTGATGCTCTCAGTCGGAAAGTCAATCTTGAGAGAAAAAGGCCAAGAGCGTTGAGAATAGAAGTTGTCTCGACAATTGTGGAGAGTATAAAGAAAGCTCAAGAAGAAGCTTCAGAGAAGAATGACCGAAAGGAAGAACGTTTGGGCAAAACGTTAGTGTTCGGTATAAACAGTCACGGACTGAAGGTATTCCAAGATCGAATTTGGGTGCCTAAGTCAGAAGGAATAAGAGATCTTCTGATGGAAGAAGCTCACAAAAACCATGTACTCGATTCATCCCGGTAGCACTAAAATGTATAGGGACCTAAAACCCTACTACTAGTGGCCGACGATGAAGCTTGATATCGCAAAGTATGTGGCCGAGTGTTGGACATGTGCTCGAGTTAAGGCACAACATCAAAAACCATATGGGAGTTTAGAACCTTTACCTGTACCTATGGGTAAGTGGGAAGATATCGCTATGGATTTTGTCACTAAACTGTCCAGAACAAAGAACGGTCACGACATGATTTGGGTGGTCGTGGATCGCTTCACTAAGAGTGCGCACTTCATAGCAGCCAATGAGAAATGGTCCATGGATAAGCTTGCGAATTCTTACGTGAAGGAAATTGTGAGGCTTCACGGTGTCCCCTTAACGATTTTATCGGATCGTGACAGCCGTTTCACCTCAAGGTTTTGGAAAAGTCTACAAGAGGAATTGGGTACGAAGTTATGTTTGAGTACAGCTTACCATCCACAGACTGATGGTCAGAGCGAACGGACGATACAAACACTTGAAGATATGCTGAGAGCATGTACCCTGGAATTCCAAGGCAGCTGGGATGAACATTTGCCTTTGGTAGAATTTTCCTACAATAATAGTTTCCACTCGAGCATTAAGATGGCACCTTATCAAGCTTTGTACGGACATAAGTGTCGTACGCCGTCTTGTTGGCTTGAGGCTGGGGAAAAGCAGTTTATGGGACCCGAGATTGTAGTGGTTTTGATTATGATGGCATGTGCGGAATTAAGAATGATTTAGTGAATCATCAAATAAAATCAAGAACATGAACACAAGATCTAAATAATTCTTTTAAGCTCTCATTAGTTTTATAGAAAGAGAACAAATGGGTCTTGCAAAATTCTCTCTCTAAACTAATCTCTCAAAATGTTCATTAGATAAAATGAGTGTCACTCACTTCCTTATAAAGGAAAGACAACTCATTATGCATACACAAAGGAGTAAGCCCTCATAACATCCAAGAGTGACTTTGCACCCTTACATTCTCTCCCTCAAAGTTAGGATTGGATGTCCGACTTCAATCTCCAACGAGCACGCGCGATCAAGACCAAACTCCCCCTCGAAGTAAGCACCGGTCTTCAAATCCACAAATGAAAGATCCGCTTCGAAACCCATCATTCTCCCCCTTTTTATAATCAAAAAATGATTATAAAACCCATTAAGGGTGAGAAGCGCTCGAGAAATGAACTTTACAAAAATCCCCCTTGATGTGTGCCAAAAATGAAACACCAAAAGCTTGCATGGAAAAACAATCACAAAAAAGCCACAAAATTTCCAATTTATGAAATTTTTTTGACTTTTTGGGTGAAAGTTGCAAGATTTTTCAAAAACTGGGTAGAAATTGTCACTTTCTGAAACTTGCAGGGACCCATTGCGCCAAAACCAGCCTAATATACGAAACTCTCCCCCTTTTTCGAAGCTGGGTAGATAGCGTCAATTCGCATAAACTGCAGGGGCCTGAAATGCATATTCTTCAACTTCTCAGCAAAAACAGACCTTTTTCGAAATTGGGTACTTGCTGCTAAATTTTCGAAATATCAGGGACTGCTTTCAAAAAATTCTGTTTTTGTCCCAAAATGTCGAAAAACACCCCAATTGTCGAAGTTGGTTAATTTGTGCCAAACTGTCAAAAAATTTCAGGGACCATATGCGAAAATTCTCCATTACTTTTTCAAACTAAGGAAACTTTGCCCCAAAAATCGAAATTTGTAAAAGGTGACAAACAGTCGAAACTTTAAGGGCTAAAGTCAAAAATTTTGTTTCTTCTTCCCCAATTTCTTCCCCAATTCGTTTGCCTGTAATGAATTCCTTCTTTCCCAATTGTTCGTTAATTTCAAGCACCAAAATTGACAGCCCATTTTAACGAAAATTTGTTCTTCTTCACTTCGTTAGTTTCAGACAACGAAATTTCTCCTTCCCCAATTCGTGAATCAGTAATGAAACTTTCACAACACCATATTTAACGAAAAAATTTTCTCTCTCCCTTTCGTATGAAATTTTCAGCACTCTCGTTCGTTAGTTTCAATCACTAAAACCTTCGTTATCAAGAGTAAAAGACTTCGTTAGCAAGCTTGTTCCATCGACTTCCAAAATTTTCGTTAGTAAGACAAAATCAACAGCCTTCTCATTTCGAAGTCAATCAACCATTAACAGACCTTGCTTCCTTGTCACCAATATCGACATCAAAATCAAAATCGCTACTCCAAGATGTACTTCATCTGCTTTCGAAATCTGATTCTTTGACTTTAATATTGCTTTCAACTCAAACAAACATTAGTCGAAATTGAGGCTAGACATCTTGAATCAAATTTCGATTTCAAGCGATTCTTCAATAATCGAACTCTATTTTGATTTCAATCGATTCAGGCTTTGACTATCTCGCTTCACCTGTTCGTTATCAAAATTGACTTCTACACAACACAATCAACTGTATCCCAAATCGAATTGGAGTCCCAAATCGATTCAGCAAAAAGCATCCTGTTCTTAAATTTCATTCATCCTGTTCGTTTCCAGATAAAACCCTGAACATCGAACTTTGACCTTTAATTTTGACTTCAGCCTTCAACAAATCAATTTCTCAAAACTCTTTCGATTCGATCACCAAACATCAGTTGAATCGACGTTCGTTTTTCAATCGACTCATTCCAAGTACAAACAAAATCGAAATCAATTATTGACCCCAAATCGAGTTCGACTATTAGATGTCAACAACTTTAAACTCAAAACCGATTAACTCAAACTCAATTCTGTGATTCGATTTCGAACTCCAATCAATAGTACTAGGACTCGATTTTCAAATAACTCTAATGAAGATATGAAATCGACATCGAGTCAAGACCAAATCAAAAACTTATTTGACTTAAGCGATCGCAAGTCAAAATTTTCGATTCAATCAGTGAATAAGAACGATCGGATATCTTCTTGGGCTCAAACTGATTACATATGGAACAGTCAAATGATTTGATTGGGCTTCGAATTCATATGAATCGTAACAGATAATAAACTTTGTTTGGGCTCAATCAATATCGATTCGCATGTGTGGATCCAGATCAAAGAAATTAGATCAAAAACAAATTAAAGATTGCACAATGAACATGGTGATTTGGGTGTTCAAGAGATGTATTGATTATGTATGGTGTTATACAAAAAGGGATCTAGATCTAGTCTACATAAATAACACACACTTACACACTCAACTTTTACATCTCTCAAGCACACCTCTACAAGTGGTATGAACCCACTATATATAGAGGTGTTTACATGTCTCTCTCTCACTCTCACTAACTCATTAGTCATAAGGCTAATGCACCACATGCAAGTGAGTTTTACAAAAGTCAAACATTACAAAGTCATTCATGGAAAACTTTGTACCCTAACATTCTCCCCCTCAAAGTTAGGAATGAATGACCCACTTCAAATCTTCCAAAATCGAGCAACTACGCGATCTGAGCCTCAAGGGTGACACATGTCGAAACGAACTTCAATCTTCAATTCTTCCATGATTCTTCAATTTGGGCTCTAGGATGTGAGACCATACAAACCGAGCATCAACGAATGATTACGAGCTTCTCAAACTCCAAATTGATCACCAAAAGTTTAGCACAAAAGCACACCCCAAAAATCTTCAATAAAACCAAACCCATTTCGACATGAAATCACTTCCGAATCTCCAATCGCTTCATTTCGTATACTTCAAAAATTCAAGGTCACTTCGGTCGTGAAATCCGCGTAATATGAAAAATTCAAGTTCGAATTTCCATATAAATTTCTCCCCTTTTTATAATCGAAATTTGATTATAAAACCTTCAAGGAAAGAGAACGTGCTCTATTCGGAATTTTTCGTGTCAAAACTCCCGCTTAACATGTGGCATAAACTTTGTGCTTCAATCCGGAAAATCCAAAAAATGTGGCAGGATTGTATTATGATATCTCTGTCGACTACTCTACACAACTGTGGAAGGAATTCCAAAAGAGTGTCGAAAACACGAATGTGGTTCAAGGAATTTCGTGTGCTATGTATTGGAGCTTAATCCTTGGTTATTTCTATGATAAAGAAGGAATTGATGTCCCTGCTGATGAAGAAAAGACTGAGTTTCTGAAGTATCACTTTCCAAAGGAAGTTTCGGATGATATGGAGGTATTCACACACATTGTTCGGATTCCTGATGCAATGTTAAAGAGGTTTGAGCCAACAAATTCAGTGTTGGTTGAGTACTTGAAAACCATTAATCCAGATGTTGAGACTGGAAAATTGTTGTCGAAAGAAGAAGCTGGTCCTTCTAAGAAGTCTAAACGTTCTAAAAAGGGTGCAAAGGCTACACCAGAAAAGCCAGTGCAAGAATCAAAGAAGTCTCCTGTGAAGATTGTGCCCGAATCTACGAAGTCTCCAAAGAAGCCTGAGACGACTGTTATCATCACACCAGTGGAACCTGTTGATGATACTGTAGAGAAAATTCCTTCGAAAACTGGTCTTTTTCGACGATTGAAGAAAAGGGCTAGGGGTTCACGAGAATCTTCTGATGGTGTGTTAAAATCTTCTCCTTCTAACGTTCGTAAACCACAACTATCTCATCAAGGGGTTATTTTTCGAGAGGTTCCAGCTCCAGTTTCGCCTCTGTCCAAGAAACGTCGAGCTGAAGATGTGGACAAACACATTTCAAAGAAGAAGAAACGGCAACGCAAGTTGGTAATCCAAGAGGCATCTTCCGAAGAAGAAGTAGTTCCTGACACACCAGAACCAATTGTTTCTCAATGTGTATCTACTCCTGAGCAGACTATTGTCATACCAACCGAAGTCTCGTTAACTGAATCAAATACTGAAGAGGTTCGAACTTCAGGCATTTCAACACACGTATCTGATACGGATGCAAATGTCAACATGGGTGAGGGAGCGTCGAACAAAGAAGTTGCGGCTACTACTCAAGGTATTCCTGTATCTTCAATGGCAGATACTTTCGTGTCCTTACCTCTTTTTATTATTCCGAATACTACCCGTTCCCCAACCTTTGAAAACATTCTTCATCAACCCTTTACAACTCTTTTTCCATCTCAATCCACTGATTCACCCAAGATTGATTCGCATGTTAAAACTTCACCTGTTGTTGAAATGGATACTGACAATGAAGGTTTTGGAGGAACATTTGAAGATTTATAGTTTGATGATGAAGAAGATCACTTTCCTGATCATATGTTGATGACAATGAAACAATTCAAGATTCTCAACAAGAAATTGAATTCTATTCTTCAATCTCAAGCATATTTAGGGAGTCATTCGTCTGTTTCTAATATGGACGTTGATAGTATGCTGAAAACTTTCGAAGCCAAGGTGGTGAGTAAAGTCTCTGGATTGGTCCGAGATTCAGAGATTCGACTCTTGGAGAAGATTGATCACAATGATCAGAATGATGAATTACGGTAAATTCTCTCATTTCGATGTTTAGAGCGGAGGTGAAAGAATTCAAACATTTGGTAAAAGAACGACATGTGTTATTTGTTCAAGATGTCAAGAAAGTGAGGGAATATGTAAATTTGCAAATTCAAGAGCTTCGACAGGATATGCAAAAGGAAATCTCAATTGTGCAAAGGGATTATGCTTCAATTAATCAAAAAGTTGACATTATTTGTGATGCTGTTACCAAATATGTCAAGTTGTACGAAGATTTGAGTCCTCAACTTACTCAATTATCGACAATGGAAAATCGAAGCTTTGTAGAAGTGCTCAATCTGCTGAAGGAGCTCAAAGATTTAACTGTTAAATCTGTTTCATCTCCGTTGATCACTTCGGACTTTCTGTCTCAAAAGTTCGTTCAAATTTGAAGCTATTCTACACAAACAACTTGTTCCTCTTTCTCATATTTCTAGCCTTCTTCCGACGAATGCCCCGCCTGTTTTCACAGGGGTGCAAGGGGGAGAAAAGGGGGTTGGTATTACGAAGGCTAGTGGTGAAAATTTTCATGCAGATGCAAAGGTTGTTGGAAAGGTGTTTTCTTTGAAGATTCTGATAAAAAAAACCAATTTTGTCAACCGCTGAGCCAATTAATTCGACCGTTGTAACAACAATGCCAATTTCAACGAAGCCAATTTCAAGACCAATTTCTAAAGGAATTGTGATTAGGGAAGGTGGCAGCAGTTCGAAGCCTAAGGAAAGTGTTGATAATTCATCTGTAAAAGACAAAGGCAAAACTGTTATGGTCGAAAAGTCAAAGGAAGAAAAAGAAAGCTGAAGCGGAGGCTGAAGTTGAAAAGCTCCGAATTGTACAAAGCATTATGCGACTTCGTGCAAATGATCCACCTGGGATGAACAAGGGTGATCCTTCAAAACACTACAATTATGAAACAATAGAGTCGAAAGTTGCATATAATCATATGTATGCTTTCGAAAAGAAGCCAAAGAAAAGCTATGTTGTTCTCAACACTGATATGAGTCAATTGGATTTTCCCATCAATGAGATGATGTTCATCATGGCTCAGTACAAAATTGCTGAGAAATTTGACAATGATGATGAGTACACATACATGAAGATCAGATTTCATGTTGTACTTGGAAAACTTCTAGAGGAGATTTGGTCACTGGTGAAGATAAAGAAGATGATAGGTATAAAGCGAGATGTGTTGTTCGAAAATATGATGCAGAATCTTCGCTTTATTGTTTCGAGGGCGAATGGGCAAGTGTGTGATTTTTCAGTACCTGATTTTCCTTTAATGAACTTGTATGATCTGATACAAGTTGCATTGTTGCTAAAGGATAAAGATGCTTCATATCTTCGAGAAACTGATCCTGAAGTTTTTCGACTTGGGTTAGCTCACATCAAGATTTTCATTGACAACTATTATGAGTGTTTAGCACTTACTGATGTTGAGTTAGCTACAGCAAAGGGATTGACTGTAAAAGTGCCAAAGGAACTTCCTTTAACTCAACCTGAGTTGAAGAAGTATGCTGACGGAGAAATATGTTTGAAGCCATTTGGTATGGTATTTGCTGGGAAAGACAAAAATGGGAAGGCGAAAAGATTCTTGTTTCAAGCTTCCGAAGTGGAAAGATATACAACATCCCAATATACGAATTTCATTGTTCGTATGAATAGCTGCAAGAAGAATAACGAAGGAGATAAGAAGGAACTGAAGAAGATAATCTCATGGTACACTGAGATTCGAAAAGTTATGCTGTATGCTATACAGATACTCTTGAACTGACGAAGGTCGACATGATTACAAAGGGGGAGATTGTTAGGGTCGAAGTATGTTGTAATATGTCGAAGTTTATTTTACCCTTCGTATGTTTTGTAAAGTTTATTTACTAATGTGTATTTTGTACGAAGCTTAATTGTCAATGCCTTAGTATTTTTTGTATGCTTTCACTGTTCCTAAAAATATGGAACTTTACTAGAGTTAGATGAGAGTCCTTTACAGAACCTGTCTATTTTCTCTGTAAAAGTTGGAAGCATAAATGAGCAGAAACTAGATCTTATTTACATTGTTTGTTCAATCTACATTCGTTTAACTCTGATTTTGATTAATACTTGATTCTACGATTCTAGAATTGAAATTTGCAAAAGATGACAAACAGTCGAAACTTTAAGGGCCATATTAGAAACTTTTGATTTCTTTTTCTCCATTCGTACGAAGCCACCTTCATCAGCCATTTGAACGAATTTCTATTCTCCGGCCATTGTTCACTTCGTATGAAATCATCATCTCCAAACTAACGAAACTTTTTGACACTAATTAACGAAATCGAAGGCATACGAAGCCTCTGAATAACATCTTAACTGTTCAATCACTGAATCGATCTCACAGCCTTTACTCTTCGTTAGCAAGCTTTTAATCAGTCGTTCCCAAAAATTCATTATTATCATGTTCGTTCCCAAATCATCGATCATACTGGAAACCTTCGTACATCAATGATTTCTTCCCAAAATCAAACTTTCAATTTCAATTTCGTGCCCATTAACATCATAGATTCCCTGACCCATCGACTCATAACAACACCCTATTCGTGTTCAAAATCCATTGCTTCGCACCATACAGGAACCCTTCATACATCAATCGATCAAAATCATCTTCCCAAAAGGCTTCGTCATCAACAATCGAAATCAAAATCCTTCACAATAACGAATTCATCCTCCAAAATCTTCGTTAGTCCCGTTTTTCATTATCAGGGTATTAAAAAACATCGATACCAAAGCCTTCGAATTAGATCATACTCCAGTCGACATTCCAAAATTCTTTCCTAACAATCGATTCGTGCTACTCAACATAATATCGACCATCTGTTCGTCATTTTTATTTCGAAACCTTCATTCCCATATCATCTTCTTCGAACACCGACTTCCAAACTAACGAACATAGTCTCCAACTTAACCATTCGAAATCCAATTGACACCAAGAAATAAACTTCCTTTCACACATCACATTTCGTCATTAAAGCAATCATTCCTTCAATCCTTCACCGACACAAACTGATTTCATCCAAAGACGACATTAGACCCTTCAAAATTAAAATCGACCAACCCAATATATCGATGCTCGACTCCAAAATCATCAATCGAATCTCAAAATGATTTCAAATCAGCTTTAAGACTCTTGACTTGAATTCTATCAACGAACACTAATCAAAATTGAGTTCGACTCAAAGTACGTTTCCAGGATACGAACAAGAACATCATCAACAGTGGATTCGAACGACAAAAATAAGAACAAATCGAAATCAAATACAACCAGACACAATTTCAACAATCTGAAAATGAAAATGAGTTCGATTTGAAGCAATGAACTCAAGAGTTTGTCAAAAATTGAAATCGTCTACAACAACTGTGAATCAAATATGACTCCAAGAATCGGTAACAAAAATTATGTTCGATTCTAACTTCAAAGTCTTATAAATCGAGTATCCATCAAAGTCGATTTTGACTTTTATGTTGACTTATACACCCAAAATTGAACCGATGTTAGATACGAGTCAGATTTATTCATATATCAACAAATTTTGATTTGGGCCTAAAACAAAAAGATGAATAGTAGCAACTCAAATGATTTGGGCTCAAATCGAGGTCATGAACAGTAAGTAGATTAATTGATTGGGCTTATTCAATTTAAATGAACAATTATCGATCGGAAATTGGTCTTTAAGACTTGGATCAATGAATAGTATTAGATTGAAATTTTGATTTTGGCTTTAGATTTGATCTAAAAAAAATTATTGGATCATCAATGGGCTTTTTCAAGAAAAATTTGATCCAACGAGTCAAACGATCACAAATCAAAAATGCAACTCATAAATTCAATGAAATTAAGAGAGATTATAGAGAAAGACTCACCAAAAATGCTTTAATTGTGACAAATGTTGCCAAACCGAGAATCGTTCTTCAAAAAATCATGTTGATCATTGAAGACCCGCTCTGATACCAATTGTAGTGGTGTTGATTATGATGGCATGTGCGGAATTAAGAATGATTTAGTGAATCATCAAATAAAATCAAGAACATGAACACAAGATCTAAATAATTCTTTTAAGCTCTCATTAGTTTTATAGAAAGAGTACAAATGGGTCTTGCAAAATTCTCTCTCTAAACTAATCTCTCAAAATGTTCATTAGATAAAATGTGTGTCACTCACTTCCTTATAAAGGAAAAACAACTCATTATGCACACACAAAGGAGTAAGCCCTCATAACATCCAATAGTGAATTTGCACCCTTACAGAGATAGTCCATCAGACTGCTAAAAAGCTGAAAATAATTAGGGAGAGAATGTTAGCGGCTCAGGATCGTCAAAAGAGTTATGCTGACTAAAAGCGAAGACCGATGACATTTGAAGTTGGGGATTCGGTTTTACTTAAAGTCTCACCGTGGAAGGGACTTATACGATTTGGTAAAAGGGGAAAGTTAAGTCCTAGATTTATTGGACCGTTTAAAGTTCTTCAGAGGATTGGGAACCAAGCTTACAAGCTCGAATTACCCGAAGAACTGAATGGTATTCATAACACTTTCCATGTGTGTTATTTGAGAAAGTTCACGGGAGAAGTTCCCGATATAATTCCAATTTCTGAGTTAAGAATTGATGAGAACAAAAGGTTAATTGGAGAACCAGAGGCAATCGTTGACCGAAACACGAAGAAGTTACGACGCGAGATGGTCGAATTAGTGCTTGTCCGTTGGTAACATACGAATGGGCCAAATCTCACCTGGGAAACGGAGAGTGATATGATGAGTCGCTATCCGCATTTGTTTGTTGATGTGTGATTCCGGGGACGGAATCATCCTAAGGGGGAGAGAATTGTAACGCCCGTGTTTCTAGGCTAGGCATCAATATTGATGTAACAGTCTAGGTTAACCTTTGTAGCGCGTTTTGAAATAATAAAATGTATTATTTGAGTATTATGTGTTTCATGCTTAATTGTTGTGATTTAAAGGAATCAAAG